AAGAGAGAGAGAGAAGGACAGGGCACTACCCTTCCCTAGAGAGAGGGAGAGAGAAAGGCAGGGCCCTGTTGCCCATGCAAGCAAGAGAGAGAGGAGAGAGATACAGAGAAAGGGGGAGAAATAAGGGCAGGGTACTGCCCTGCCGTAGAGAGAGATGGAGAGAGAAGGACAAGGGCCTTGTTACCTCTGCGTGCATGTGTGAGAGAGGGGGAGAGAGAGGACAGGGTATTACCCTGTCCTAGAGAGACAAATAGGTAGAGAGGAGAAGGGCTGGGGCCCTATTGCCCCTACGAGAGAGAGAGAGAGGGGAGGAGAGAGCAGGGCGGGGCATTGCCCTACCTAGGGAGAGAGGGAGAGAGAGAAGGGCAAGGGCCATGTCACCCTGCGAGAGATAGAGGAAGGGCAGGGCACTGCCTTGCTCGAGATAGAGAGATGGGCAAAGGTCATGTCGCCCCAGTGAGAGATAGGAAGGGGCAGAGAAAAGGACATGGCATTGCCTTTCCCTAGAGAGAGAGAGAGAGCGAGAGATAAGTGCACAGGGAGAGAGACTCACTTAGTTGATTGAGAAGGGTAGAGCAAATAGAGAGTTGAGAGTTAGAGAGAGATGAGATGGTGCGTGAGGGTTGTTATAAACCCCTCACACTGTAAAAGAGCTCTATTATTGGAGCTCCATTAGGGGTTCCCTGCAAAAATTGCTGGGAATCCTTCATATTTGGTCAGCCACAACAATGGAGCCCTACAACTTGCAGGGCTCCTTTTTAACTAGCCGGGTAGCCCATTAGCCGGCCCAATTAAATAAAACCTGGTCACGTAGTTAATAAACCGCGCAAGTAGGAGGTTTACTCAGGCTGCTCAAGTTGGGGGTCCAACCCTTGGCGGTTAGAGCCCCCATAATCGGGCTCGGCTAGAGGCGAGCCCAAGTAAGCTTGCCGAATGCGGTACCACCCGACCGGTTTTGTGAACATTGACTTGGATGTTGCACAACCTTGTATGTCCACTGTAAACTCAAATTGAGAGAGAGAGAGAGAAATAGAGAGAGATAAGGACCCCCATAGGCTAACCAACCTCAATTACCTCTCCTAAAGGGCCGATGAGTGGGTATCGCAAAGGCCAATAGTATTAGATCAGGATTTCCTTAGGGGAGCAGTTGCCCATATGGATCATAATGTGGGCATGGCAACACCCAAAAAGAGGACACGTGGCAGAGGACATGGACATTGACACGGATGAAGATGGGGATTGGGACGACGAGGAAACAGATGGGGCAATGGAAAACCATTGGCAAGAGGCAATTGTGGAGGATTGGACTAGTCTAGGAGACTTTGGCCTAGGGGCTACCTCGAGAAATGTTGTTGATTGGCAAAGGAGCACAACTGCAAAACTACAAACCCCACCAGGGTTCACTCAGATTATTGGCGAAGTGAACCCTGATAGCGAGACACAAGAATACCCTGAACCCATCGACACTCTTATTACTACTAGTCAATATTAATTGTACTTTGTAATTTCTTCCATTGAATTAATTTGTCATTCCTTCCATTGAATTAATTTATGTAAAGTTTAAATTGTGTTGTATATCTCCCTAGTCTTCATAAATGAATTTACATAAAATCGTTTGAATAGCCATTTTTCATCAATTCTTTTTTTTTCAAGTCAATCCAGTCCCTGGTTTCCCTTTTCTTTGAGGACAGATGGAGGAAATCAGGGAAAATCCTGTGGAAAGCCTCGCTAGCCGCTACCCTCTGGCATATTTAGGGGGAAAGAAACTCTTAGGATCTTTCTAGGAGAGAAGAACACTATCCAGACACTGTTCCAAAAAATAACATCGTCTGTTATTTTCTGGGCCTCTCACCATAAACAATTCGTAG